ATATATATATATATATATATATCTAACGGCAAAAGAAAGCACAACAAAAGGCACACGAACGAAAAAACAGAGAAAATGGCGCTCACCGGCGGTAGGTCACTGGAACGATGCCGGCACGGTACTCGGCGATCTTAAGGAACATTGGCATGGCGAGATCAAAGTGGGGGCGGGGTGGATTGCACCATCCTCCATTATCAGAGGGTAGAGCATAGTTAGGCGGGCAGAAGTTCGTCGCCGTCACGAGAATGGAAGGGCTTCCTGGATGACACCATTGAGGATCATCAGCACACTTGATCTCGAAACAAGCTCCGCAGCTCTGGCCATTGTCGAACAATGCAGTGCTCAGCGCCGCCGTCTGTACACCGTATCCCTGGCTGTAAAGGTTCCCGTACCCACACGCCCCACCTGCATTCAAAATCCACAAATATAAACCTGGATCTCATTGAAACAACAATGGTTCAAGAATAAATAGCGTGGGATTAACCAATGTGGGTTTACCCATGGTGCCGGAAGCATCGCTTCCACCGTAAAAGGTTGCGTGTGCCTGATTCCATGTACCGCCAACATAGACGCCGGGAATGCGGGCGGCAGCCGGCGAAACTATTGCTGTCAGAAAAATTCCGACGGCTAATGCGGAAGCGGCGGAGCTGAGGCTAGACATCTTAACTAAGTATAAGGAATAACGGCTAGGGAGAAAATGCGGGTAGGAAGTGTGAGGAGGAAGGGCTACTTAAGGAGTGAGTTAGGGCAACACAGTGGCACTGGGTGTAATAAACGCACTTTTTTCACGGGAGGGGTAGGACAGGCGTTTTTTTTAAGGAAAATAAATGAATGAATAAAAACGATATGTTGAATTTCCCGCGCGCGGGTTGTCTGTTGCCTATATTTACGAGAATGGCACTAAGGGCATTTGTTATTCTTCTACTTGGCGCCGTCCGATGCTGAAACTGCGGTCAGATTTGCAAGGAAGTGGGATAACCCTGTATCGAGGGTAATGGTCGGGAGGGCGAATCATGTTCGTAAATAATTCCAGACCGTGGGGGTAATACGGGTAGTCCAGTACTGTGATCATGAGGATGAGGCGCCGGGACGGAGGGGATAATGGGGAAAGGCGTGGCGAAGGATTTGAAATCGCTGCTTTGCTTCAATCTCAAGTTGTGCCGTTACGGACGGCCCAGATTCCACGACCTTTAATTTTTCGGTTTCTTTAATTTATGTAATTTATTATAAAAGGATAAATTTTACCCGCTATGTCAGATTTTTTTAAAAAAAATCTATTTTTTCTGTATATTTTAATAGACTAAATTAAAATCATTTATTGAGCATAAGATCACATTTATAAAATATTTTTAAAGAAATACATTCATTTTAAAATTTTAAATTAGTTTCTATAAATCATAAACTATTTTAAAACTTCTATTAAAGTTTAACTTTCGAAATTTATAGAAGGTTAATATATTAAATTAAATTTCTTGTTATTGGGGGGGTAAATTATAGAATATGTAGGTGAATTTAATTTATAATCATTAAAAACAGTCATTTATTCAAAATATTAATTTTTTTATTAATTATATTCACTTCCTCTAAGCATTAATTTTTTTATTAAAAAAATAGTAATGATTTGTCATCAACTAATTTAATCAGTTATTTGAAATGAATCTCGAAATAGTTTACACGGGTTTTGAGGTAATTTTAGTAAGAAATATTACAATTAAAATTATAAATCATCCAGAGCTCTAATTTCGTAAAACTTAGAATCAAACCGTTCAGCTCGACAAGAGAAACACAATGATACAAAAATTGGGCCCAATTCGAGCCCAATCAAACCCACTGCAAGTCATTAAACCACATTTGAAGGCTTTTAGGTTATTTGTTGAAGGATAAAATGAACTCTAAATTTGACATACATATAGTTAATCGAGCATCTCGACTAGAAAAAACATAGGAAACAAAAATCACTCAATTTCGTGGTCAGTATTACTATCTTATCATCAAAAAATTATATATCCTCAAGAGGAATCAATATGGACCATTTATTATATGGACCATTCGATTAAATGGTTATAAAAGTTAGTGCCAATGGATCAAATTGCCTCCCCTTTGAGCCTATTACTACACCCCCTCTTTTCACTTTAGGAGGTACTCACACTCCTTTTTATTCTCATTGAAAATGAACATTTCAACGATTCTCCCCTTTCAATCCCCTTTTTAGGTCACCCTCAATTGAAAAAATAAATAAAGGTAAGAATGATAACAGACAAAAATTAAGAAGAAACAAAAAAAGTAACTACAAATATTTTTATTATACGAAAGTCCTTATAATATAAATCGGAGAAAAACACTCTAAAATAAATTGGACCATGCTTAACCAAAGAAAGTATATAAGGATCCTATTAAAAAACCTTTGTAACCAAATCAGAATACAAAATCAAATTTATTTTGTTAGGACTACAATACGACATATCTTGAACATGTCGTACTGAAGAATGGGTGATAGCGCCCGACAACTACTTACAACCAGTGTATTCAGAATATGAAAATTTTCTCCATGCTTCTGAAGTTTTCTCTTTATGTAATTTACACGCAAGTTCTATCGCTGATGTAAAATAGTAAACCTAAGAGAAGAAATGCACCACCAATTTGTGTGATAACAACTATGACATTGGTATTCAATTAATGTTCATGTAGTTCTCTACTACGACTAATGTGACCAACTATGACCTATGTGGCTCATTACTATTACAACTCCCAACAAATGCCTTTGTAGCAAACTGATATTATTGCATCTCTTTACTACAAGTTAAGATATCAATTATGACCTATATGATTAACGAATATTGCAGTGTTCAACTATAGCCTCTACGGTCAACTGATGACATTGTAACTTCCCACCATAGCTTATGTGACTAACTACAACTTACGTGGCCAATTGCTATTGTAGCTTTCAATTATGACCTATATTGTCAATTAACGCTCATGCGAATGCTAACTATAGTATATATGACCAGCTATTACTACGACTATCAACTATGACCTATATGACCAACTACTAATACAACTTTCAACAACGACTTTTATGACAAACTAATATTATTACAACCATCATCTATAATATTCGCGGCAAACAACTATCTTTTTAGCAATCAACTATAGTCTTTGCGAACCAATATTGCTACAATCATAAATAAAATATTTTGTTCTATCCTAATTATGGTTATTAAAGCTTAACTACTATTGTACTCCTCTGATTATCAATATTGTAGCACCATTTTTTTTAATTCAAGAGAAGAACAAACTTATGCATTTATATTTACGTAGTAAATTATTTTGACTGGGCTAAAAACGTGATTTTTTCTCTCTAAGATTTGTTCATATAAAAAATCACGGCGTCTCCTCTTTCTACTTCTTATTATTTGTGCATATATTGCATCTTCACACAATGTAAAGTTATTAAATTATCACTGCCAAATTTCGGCGTAATTTAGTTTAATAGTATTTAAATTTTAAAATTTGATTGGGGCAAATTTGAAATTAAGGCTTTTTGGGAAAAAAGAAATAAAAGATTTAATGCTTGATAAATTATATTTTTAAATTTTCTTAACCATACTGCAGAATATAAATCTCCTAATTTCGAGCCGGACAGGCGCTTATTCTAGAAAACAACTTCAACTGTGGGCCCATTCCGACCCGTAATCATGGGTCCGCAGATCACGGAACCGAGCCACACCGGTCCGTGGGGTCCATCTGGAGCAACCAACTTCTCAACCCATAGGCCCGCCACGCCAACCATATCGTCCCCACCAGAAAAGAAGGTGGGACGATTTATAACGACACCCTTGACGGAGACCCCAAAGCTGACCTACTTACATTAATGGGGGCCACATCTTCACTTTTCCGCTTATCCGTTTTAACAACGTCAGCAAGCACGTTGAAACAACCTCATTAAGAAGTCAACGAACACGTGGAGAGTGATGTGTGGAGTGTAAACGACAGCCTGTGAGAGACAGAGGGGGAGCGGTGGAGGCGTGAGTCGCCGGTGGGCTATCGCGGTCGCCGAGATTTAGGTTCTTTCCACGTGGCGCGATATAAGGGCTTAATTGGTCAAAGGAGGTCAGGGTAGCGGATCGGTTGCTCGATACCGGTAATTAGGAAGTATTTTAATGAACCGATACGACGGAAAGTAATCTGAGTGGCGTCCAGCTGGTCATAGAAAGTCGTGCTAAAACCATCATGGACGCTGCATAAAGCATGTTTATAGTGTTGATTGTCGGATTTGTGCGAGTTTAGGCTCATTAAAAAATATTTTGTTCATGTTTTGTTTATTTATATTTCGAGCTTAAGAAGTATATTGGTGTTGGGCTAATTTGCATAATGAGTCTGACAGGAGCTGTTCGCAAACAATAAATTATTTAAATGGCCCTAATCACTCAACCACAAAATGTTATGGGTACGAGTGAGATTTAAATCTTCTTGCTTATATTAAAATATTCATTTAAATAAAATTTTATATATTTTAAATTTATTTTTTAGTTAATAATTTTAATTTATTATAAATTTTTGTGTCCTTCTTATCAATTAAATTTTTTTAAAAAATATTCATCAATTATATATATATATATATAATTATTTCGAGCTAAAACGAGCCGAGCACGCACAAATTGTTTAT